TGATATATATCGTATATATACACATATATATAATATATATTGTATATGATATATATAATATACATATACACATATATATTGTATATCATTTTAATAAAACTAACATGCCTACTTAATGATCATTTATAATATAACTAAAAAAATTACTTAAACAATTGTCACAATATGCTATCGTTCGTTATTATTTTAATGTAATTAATATTTAGTAACGTATAGTTAATATTTAAATGAATGATTGTAGAGAAGAATTTTGGCCTATATAATTGAATATGCGCTGATTTAAAAATTAAGGATTTTCTAAGACATTTTTCGAGTGATTATTTTTGCATATCTTTTAATAATAATTGTAACGCTGTTTTTAGCGATTTTTGTATGTTTTGTCGAGGCGTAATGTTAAATTATCGAATTATTATGTTTATTAACGATTAGATTAAAAAAAAAAAATAAATAAATAAGAAAAAAAAACTTTTTTAAATAAATAATAATTAAGTAAAAGTTAAATGAAAAAAAGATATTACATTTTTTACCAACTACAAATTATTTTTGTTACGTGTAAGCCTGCAAACTAATAAATAATTTTAATTGATTACACATATGTTATAGACATTTTTTTTTTCAAACTAAATTCAATGTTTTACTTCAATGATATAGTGTTTATTTAAAAAGCAGAAAATTTGTAGATACATTACTTAATACACAGCATATGACACACATTAGGACGGATTGTATATATCAGGGTATCAATATTAATAATATTAATAATAATAGTAATAATAATAATATTGTGTATAAATACACATGACAAATATGAATGTATGTATGTGTTGTATATATAATGTACACACATACATATACATATGTATATTTATATCAAAATATATAACACAAATTATGGATGACTAAAAACATAAGAAAAAATAAAATTAATAAATTGCCTGTATTAATGTTAATGGATAGATCTATATATATATATATATATATTGGTACTTTAATGAAGTGTGTAGTGTCGTTTAAAATGCTTACATTTACATATTATGCTTTATGGCAGGATTCCAAAAAATGTGGGTCGCGACCTCAAGTGGGGTTGCGTAATTAAATTTGGGGACGCAGAAGGAAGAATTTGAGGAAAACTAAAAAATACTTGAACGCGCAACGACCGAAAATTAATTCAAAGCCAGTTTGACAACACTATACGTACAATATGTCTGCGAGTTTATGATAGTGAAAGAAAAGATGGTAAAAGAAAATATTTGTTCGGGTCAGCAAATATTTGCTCAACGCGATGGTTGCCAAGCAAAAAAGTATGAGGATCCCTACTTTATAGCATTATTATCTCAAATGAAAAAATATAAAATATAATGCAAAGAAATAATAAGAATAATTTTTTGCATTGTGTATACTATATGACAAGCATAATATGTAAACATGATCTAATGAATGTTTGTCAATAGTTATATAGAAGCATAACAATAAGTAAAATTTATAGAATATATATATAAAAAAAATAGAAAATAACTGGTGAAAAAAATAAGCTTTTATAATAATAATATTAATAATAATAATAACATATATGATAAACAATTACTTACATTTATTTATCGTGTATTTTAAAGTTCTATGTTATGCTTTATATGCAATTATTGACATTTAATATAATAAGTACATCTCAGTAAAATATATAAAATAATTCGATCTTATTTTTAAAACAATGTCATTCGTCATGTTCCGTTAAAATAAATACTTATACATTCAATTAATTTTTATTCGATTTTAAAATTAATTTAAGTACGTATTGTTCTAAGAAATTATATTAGAAAGTAGAGAGGAATTAACTATATGTCGTATGTGTATACATGTGTCATATATTATTCGTATTGATCCTATATATTTTATAGAAAGGTCAAAAACTTTCTACCATTAATATTCATTAATATAAAACATATTGTTAAAGTTGATCAGTTGAATTTAAATATTTTCTGGCCATATCCGTCCATACATACAAAGTTTTCTGATAGAAAAATAATTTGTTAATAAAGAAAAATAAAATAAAAGAAAATGTAATTTAAGCTAAAATATTCAAAATTTAGTTATATAATTAATAATACGAATAACCAATTATATAAGTTAATTCATATGGAAATAAAAACGTTATTTTTTCTCTCATTTCAAAATAAAAATCATTTCTTAGTTTTATCAATGAACTATAGTGACGAGTGCTGGTTTATAAATTTGATCTATTGATTATTGTTTATAAAATTAAAGCGCGTAATAATTTTTAAAATTACTTACTTTACTTGTTAACATGTTCGCTACCGTACAATGAAAAAGAGTTTCCAACAATAGTCCAGAATTTATTTTTCATGTTGATTAAAATGACATGTGTATAACACTGGGCTCTCGATGAAAATCAATGTGTCGCAGATATGTGACACCAGTAGCGAATATGTTAAATCTCAAAATTAACAGATTTATACATATATACTATATATTTATATTACTATAATCTCTATATATATAAATGCAGTATACATTGTATTAACAAAACAATGTATTACTTTCCATTCTCGTTGGTCGATATTTTTTTTAAAACATAGTAATATATATATATATATATATTCTTCGATAATTTATATTCTCTTTTTTACAAAATACTTTTAATCTAATATACGAAGAATATAATACAGCCTTTCCAATTTTATTGTGTACAATTTAAAATATTAAGCAATACTGTTAAGCTGCACCTTTTTAATAAATCAGATTGTGCAATATTATCTTTCAAATATGTTTACGTATTTTAATTATATAATATTAAAATTTGATTTATTATATTATAATTTATTAATCTGATCGAAGTCACAAAGAATGTATTAGAATTTCAATTCATTTATAACACTATTAACCCTTTTAATACTATTGGTGATTATAGCAATTCAATGATATACTTCGGTTTTTACAATTTTTTAAATCTGAATACTTTAAAATGCATTACATTGTAATACTCCATTTTTTATTTACTTTATGAAAAAATGTACATTCACATTGTAATTGGCCTGCACAGTAGAATCTTATTCGTAATGCATGTATCTGTATGATGGAAGTATATCGAAAGGGTTAATGATTATTTGCTTACATTACATTTGTTTATAAATATTTTATATAAAAATGTTTGTATATAAAAGCTTCTTAAAATTTAATTATCAGTCTTACTTATAATTCCAAATATTTGTAAAAGATACAGATTTGTTAAAATTTACTTTATATATTTATATACTTTAAATCGATTTTTATTATATTGGTCTGTGTCATTATGACATTGTAATCAAGTATTATTTAATTATACTTGAAAATGATTATGTTTATAATATTGCACAATCTACGATGAGTCTTTTCATTCAAATCTTGGCTGATTAGAATCATTATTGTTCGTAGTTGTAAAAATATTGTCTGTAAGAACTTTTCTTCCTTATATAATATGCAATAACACGATGGCAATATCTTAAATTAATAGTAAAATAATATTTATATATATAATATATATATATGAAACGAGGGGGGGGGGGGGCTGTTACGTATAGTAAATATGTTGTGTTCTAATAAGTAACAGTATACATGGCTCTAAATTATTATTTTTTTCTTTTGGAAATATATATTTGAAGGTACATATTTACTTATATCAATCCAGTATATATTATATATACTTCAGAATAAATGTACTTTTTTTAATTTAAAGGCACATAGATATATATAAATGCTTCTATATAAATGCTTGAAGTTTTTTTCTTTATTTGTCTTCTTGTTCTTTATAGTCTTTATATCGAACACAAGCACCATGCTTTTATATCTGGTATAAATGCATATTGAACGCATATTACTGAACTTTAAGGACACTTATTCGTAATATATTATTTAAGATCTGTAAGAGTTTAGTATCGTAATACTCACGAAACGTAAAGCATATTTAAAGTAATATGCAATGTAAATCAGTTATGCATTTATTTGTTAAAAAAAAAAAATAATAATAATATTTAAATGCAAAACTTTAATTTAAAGTCGTACGAAACCTACGAATTCTTAAAAACTATAAAAACTATAAAAAAATAATTTTTATAGTTTTTTCCCCGTCGAATACTTTATCACAAATATGTCTTTTTATTTATTCGGAGATTATAAATTTATGTCATCTATTTATAGGGGAAAAAATAATAATAAAAAAATAAAAGAGATGTAAAAAAAGATAATAAATAGACTGAAAATAAAAGTCATATTAGTTAGCTGCCGTTGTTTCATCGAATATATGATAGGAATGTTGCGAGTTAAAATATAAAAAGATAAAAAATAATATGATCATTGATTTATAGTTGTGTTGTTATTACCGTCTTTCTAGTTATGACTGTTTGTTTGCCTGGTGATTGTTCCGTTGTTGCAACTTGCGACGGATCTGCTACTAACCATGGACTGATATCCGAAACAGCTGGGCTATCATCCTTTACAATAAACAGAATAAAAGATCGTATGATGTCACTTACCAATGACAGTGATGTTAAAACATATTTTCTTTTTCATAGAAACAGTATTACAAAAATTTATGCGTATATATTGCGTAATGTATAAAATGAAGCGAACGCACAGCTAGCATTATAAGTCTTAAATGTAATATTTGCAAGCACCAGAGGGATTGAACTAACCTTGTGTGTAATCGTTGTTCTTATTGTTTGAATCTCTTCTGTTTTAACAACTCTTGCTTGAGCTGTTTT